AGGAGTACAGTTCACCTGTCTGGTTCTTTGTTGCCATGGGGAGGGCTGGCTTTGGAGCAGCAGGGCTGGATCCCAGAGCTGGCCCTTTGGCTCTGGACATGATCTTGGACAGGAGGGATGCGGCAGGAGGCGCCTGCGGGCCGGGCCGGCAGAGCGGGGTGGGCGGCGCCGCGGGGGCGGGCACGGGCACCGGGCTCTGCCAGTCCTCCTCCTCCAAGTCATCGATGTCAAAGGCATCCAGCTCCAGCTCATCGGTGCCCCAGCTGTGCCCTGCACTGGGGGCTGTGCTCTGGGCCTTCAGGGCTGTGCTGGTCCGGGGCTGGGTCCCGTTCCTGGCCCCAGGACTGCTGTCCCAGCTGCTGTCCCAGCACTGCAGGCTGGGCCTGAGGGACGCTCCCTCCCTGGCACCTCCCCTGGCACCAGGCACCTCTGCAGGGCCCGGGCAGGGCATCTCCTCAGCGCCCTGCTTTGAAGCACAAGAGCTGTCCACGGTTTGGCTGGTTTTGGCAGAAGAGCTGCTGGAATGAACAGAGAGTGCCGATGGGAGGTTTGTGGATTTGGGGGAGTTTCTGTCAGAACTGAAGCTCCAGCTTGGGCCAGAACTTGCACCAGGACACACACGAGGGCCCTGCTCCATGGGAGACTTCCAGCTTCTAGGAACAGTGGTGTTTATGCCATTCTGGTTCAAACCAGAATTAGCCAGCAGTTTTCTCCTGGGACAGATAACAAGGGAAGGAAGAACGAAAAAAAAATATATATTTAGTCACAAGCAATGATTTACCAAGTTCTACAACATTCATTAAACAGTTTTGTCTCACTGCTATTAAACATCTTAACATATGGTGGTTCCATCATGTTCTGAGTCACCATGTTTGAAAATTATTTCAAACAAATCTAGGGAAGAGAAAATACCACCAGAAGAGAGTAATGACAAAACTGTGACATCATCTCTACAGACACAATATAAAAGAATTCCTAAAAGCAAGATCCAGGCAAGGTAGAATATAAAAAATAATCCTTAAGAGGCAAAACCTGAAGTTAAAAGTATGCCTGAACCACATCATGTTTTTAGGTACTTTCTAAAGACTATGTCTGACTACAGCAATGAGAAATAAAATAAGCTGTTGTACTGAGAACATTTACAGAAGCTCATGGTCCCAGTCCAGGAAGAATCTAACCAAAACCCCAAATCCCAATACTTTGTCCACGCACTGTGCCATCAGATGAGGCAGCAGACAGAGCAGCAGGTTGTGGCAGCAATAATTCCATTGACAAGCTCAGGGGCATTAGGAGAAATCACCACCCCTGCAGTCAGTGAGGGGGCAGACAGCACCAGGTGAGCCTGTGGCAGAACTGAGGAGGACACCTGGCAGGTCACACCACATGCCCTGGGGGTGCAGAAGCACCTGGTGCCAGGCAGCTCCTCAGGCTGCCTGTGGAACTGGATCCTCCCCCTGGCAGCACACAGGGCCCAAACACTCGCAGCAGTTTGGGGTATGTTGGTCCCTCCCTCAGTCAGTGCTCAGAGCTCTTTCAAGCCCTCGTGCCTCGCTCTCCAGTGTGCTGGGGACACCTGCAGGCAGCTCCCTGCTCCGCACGGAGCTGCTCCAGCCTACCTGAGGTCCCTGTGCTGCAGCAGGGCTCGGGCACAGCCCAGGGCCTGCAGCTCCTGCAGGGGGATGGCATCCACCAGCTCGCAGATGGCCTCCATGACTGCCAGCAGCCGCGGGGCCACGGGCACGGCCTCACCTGCCACAGGGAGGGAGCTCAGCACAGTCACTCTCATCAGAACAGGTGCCCAGAGGACACCACCCTCCCAGAGGACAGTGATTGTGGTCAATCAGTCTCAACAATTTACTCCCAACATACTTTTAGTCCATGTGCACAAAGAAATCGTTTCTGTGTGCAGGAACTCAATGAAGCTACTTAATTTTGCCCTTGTCTTTTATTATCTGTCTATAATCCAACCATTTATGTCAACTCTCCATCTACAGATGTTCATTCTCCATCTGTTAGTTAATGTTCTGGGATTACACAGGAAAATAAATAGTTGCCAACTACCCCCAAAATCAGAGATATTAATTTCCAAAGCATTTTGTGTACCTGAATCTCCTGCACTGGCATCACCAGGATGTGTTGAGGGAACCTTCTCCTGCCTGGCCTCGGAGCTGCCAGGTGTGCACCTTCCTCCAGTGGGAGAGTCTCTGAAAACACTGCTAACACCAAAAGGAAAAGCCATGAAAATACAGATCTCTGTAAACTGAGGCACTTCCACAGAACAGCAGGATTTAAGATATGTGGAAAGATAAATTCCTGAAGGCCCAGACAGAACCCAGGAGCTGAGCAGTCACTCATCCTGGGTACCAACGTGTGGAATTTTCTCCCATCCCACTACAAAAGTCACTCTGCTTTTTTCTGAAGTGAAAGCCAGATAAAACATCAGCCATAAAACTAGCATTTGATAAAGCATTAATTGCAGCTGCTAGCCATCAACTGGCAAGCAGCAAAGAGACAGAGCTCAATCTGTGCCTCTTTAACAAGCGGGAGTTTAGGTTGTTTTTGGTACTTTTGTACTCGTGCACCAGACAGATGGTTTCAGCCGTGAGCTCTGGTTACCTGGCACTTTGCACAGAGGAGGAGAAGGGAGGCAGCTCCTCCTCCTCAGGGGAGGGAGGGATGATGTCCAGGTCATCCTCCTCGATGTCAGCACCTGCCCACGGCCAGGTGGCCTCATCCAGTGCTGGGGAGCTGCTCCCAGCCCTCTGTGGCTCCTGGCTCTGACCCCCTTCAGCTGCAAGGGAAGGGCATTGATATTGCTGGGTAACACTGCACACTCACTCAGCCTGCCACAAGCAGAGGGGAAAACAGCAGCCAGATTTCAAAACACTTGTTTGATACAGCTTCTGACTCCCAAAGGATAAAACCTGCTGCTCCCTTTTCTCCCCATTAAACCAGACAGACAAATCCCCACAAACCCTCATTTAAGTGGAAAAGTGATACAAATAAACCTACAGTCACCTGTCCCTGGCAGAAGTGAAACACTGAAGAGATCTATTTTTCTGAAATACTTTTCTATAAAAACGATTTATGTAAAAACCTGTTTCTATAAAAAGCTACTATTATATTAAATCCTAGCCTTTAAAGAGTGCAGACTCATCAGCTGGCACAGTCCCTGTACTGGAACTGGAAGGTAAATGTACATGCATTGTGTCTTAAAAGACAAATCCTACAAAGAGAGGTCAATATCATTAACTTATTAAAATGAATTTCACAGAGAAAGGAAAAGACAACAAAATATTAAAAACAGAAACACAGTTCACAAATGTTTTCAACACTCAGTGTAAGGGCAGCATCCCAGAACGCTCTTTGATATTATTCAATTGAATAAACATGTTAATTTCCCAAATAAAGGTCCAAAGTCTCAAAACACAGGAGGTAAGGAATCTAAAATAAAGCAGTTCTATGGGACAGAGCTGCCAAAGCAATGACAGGCAGGAATTTTGTGATCATAACTGAGGGCTGGAGTTCTTCTGTGGTGTTTGTGTTAAAAATAGAGAGCTATCACTTTTTCTGGTTTAATATTTAAGTGTAAGATGACTTTATCTCCTGTATGAATTTTCTAAGTGCTTTTCTCTCCATAGCATCCCTATAGATTATTAACCATTCCAGGAATTCCATAAATCTTGTAACTGCGGGACACGAGCAGCCGCTGCTCCTGCACCGGCAGGACGCTATCCCGCTCCCAGGCCGGGGGTACCCAGCACGGAATCGGGGCTGTTTGCCGGCGCCGAGCACGCAGCTCCCCGTGACTCCTGAGCAGCCAAGCCAAGCCCAGGGCTGCACACCCAGCTGTTCTTCCAGCTGTTCTTCCAGCCCGGTACCTGCTCGCAGCCCTTACCTGGGCGAGCCCCGGCGCTGCCCGCATCCCGGCGGGGCTCAGCCGCTGCCGGCTCCCCGGAGCCGGGCCCCGCAGCCGAGCCCGCGCTGCCGGGAGCCGAGTCCTCCAGGCAGATCACGGAGCGCTGCGAGCAGGGCCGCGGCTCGGCCTCCGCCGCTGCCTCACCGGCACCGCCGCCGCCGGGCCCCGGGGTCCCGGGAGAGCCGCGCGGGGCCGGGCGGGGGCCGGGCCGCGGGGGCTCCCTGCCGGGGGCTCGCGGCCCCTTGGGGGACACCAGGGGCGGCCGGCAGAACTTCTTTTCGATTCCCGACAGGTCGAAGTCATCGATGTCATCCCACTCATCGCCGATGGTGATAACGGGGCCTGCAGCGGAGCCGGGAGCGGGAGCGGAACCGGGAGCGGAGCCGGCCTTCCCGGCGGGAGCGGCGCTGGCCGGCCGGGCCCCGGGAGCCGCGGGAGGGGCACAGGCCGGAACGCAGCCCCGCGGCGGCGCCTTGGCGTCCGGCGGAGCCGAGGCGGGCAGGACCAGCGAGGTGTTCACGTCCTTGTCCCTCAGCACGGCGGCGGCGCCGAGGCCCCGCGGCGCCTTCTTGAAGGTGAAGCCCCTGCAAGGAGAGGAGCCCCGGTGACTCCCCGGCCGCGGCGGCCGCCCCACCCCGGCGTCCCGGCGCGGTACTCACGGCGGGCGGTCCCGGGCTGGCGGCGCGGCGCGCAGGGCCCCGCGGGCCGAGTGCCGCCGCAGCTGCTCCCGCAGGTTGTTCTGCGGCACGGCCGCCATCGCGGCACCGCCGCCCCGCCGCCAGGGGGCGCCCGCCGCAGCCTCCCGCCCGCGCTTCGCATTCGGCGCCAAAAGCGCCCCCCGTTCCCCATTGGCCGGAAGGGACAGGACGGAAGTGACGCACGGGGGCGGGAGGCATGGCGGCGGAAATGGAAGAGTTTCCGGAAATGGCGGCGCCGCCCTCAGGCCGGGCTCGCCCCCTCCCGGACCCGCCGTAGCCCCGCTCCGCACACCCGGGAAGCGCTCGGCGCCTCGCACGGCCTTGGCCCGCGCCGGGAGGCCGGAGCCCCTCAGCCCCCCCGCTCAGAGCTCACAGCACAGCGCTCCGCTGACGAGGCAGCTTTATTGTCAGTGAGAGATTTTTGTGAAACAACACAGACGTGCCCCTGCTCACGCGCGACTTCATTTCCTCGGCACCGAGGTTCTGGCGTCTTCGCTGGTGGCTTAAAGAAAAATCACCCGTTTTCTTCTCTATGTGCATTAAAATACCCTGGTTTTTAATACAAAATATAGCAAGCATTTCATCAAAATTGGTAAAAGTGTACAAATCACAGCACTCATTCATCCCTCCTATAAAGAACAGGGAAATTGCCTTCAAAGAAAATTTTAAAATCGCTACAATTTACACCTGGTGATTGCAGAAAAGCCACCCGAGGGGTGGGGGGAGCTCTGTGTGCCCTAAATCGGTTCCTGAGGGGTTTCCCTGCACCCAGGCGGGCCCTGCTGCCCCCGGGGTGGATGGAGGGAACCTGGCAGGGTACAACAGCACGCCAGGGTTTGGCTGGACAGGGCAGGCTCAGCTCGGGCTGCTGCTGCAGGAGAACCTGGCTGCTGTGTGTGAGAGCCAGGCTGCCTGCAGGTGACACCGCCAGCAGGTGACACCATCAGCAGGCAGGCCTGGCACTGGTTCTGCCGCTGTCCTGCCAGCCTCAGCCCTGGAGCAGCATCAGGCACTGCAGCCCCGTGCCCCGGGCCAGCCTGCCCCTGCTACACCTGAGGAACGGGGTAGGAGGCACAGGCAGCCAGCCCACACATGTTCTTGCCTCGCTCGATAAGGAAATACCTGAAAGAGACAGAAACGGCTGTGAGTGAGCGTTCCCTCCTCTGGCAGGTCAACGTGGGCAGGCCCTGGCACAGGCGCCCAGAGCAGCTGCCCCTGGATCCCTGGCAGTGCCCAAGGCCAGGCTGGATGGGGCTGGGAGCACCTGGGGCAGTGGGAGGTGTCCCTGCCATGGCAGGGGTGGCTCTGGGTGGGCTCTGAGGTCCCTTTCCCCTCAGCTCTCCAGGCAATGCCATTCCCTTCCCCCTTACACCCTGAATGAACCAGAATTTGCATCTCCCTCCCAAGAACCCCACTTGTGAAGCTGGGAACAGTTGTGAGGCTGGGATCTCACTCCTGGCACAAGCTGTCCTCCCCAGCCATGTGACCAGCAGGGAGGAGATGGGGAACCAGTGGCTCTGGAGAGGCTGGATGTGTCCTGAGCCCTGGGCACCAGGGGAACCACAGCTCTGACAGGCTGGCTGTGCCCTGGGCACCAGGGGAACCAGCAGCTCTGACAGCCTGGCACCATTGCCCGTGTCCTCCCAGGTGCCAGATGTCACCTGCAGAGCTGAGGGGGGTCAGGGGCTGAGGGGGGGTGCCCAGGCCCAGCAGAGTGTGGTGAGCAGCGGGAGCCTTACCCCTGCATGCCCCACAGGCGGCCCCAGGAGTTCTTGACGATCCAGTAGGGAGTGCCGTCCTCCTCTCCGTAGCCCACGGCCAGCACGGCGTGGTTCACCTTGTCAGGGGTGTGCTCGCAGCGGGGGCTGCAGGGAGACAGCACAGGGCGCTCTGAGAGGCAGCCTGCAATTAGCCAGGTATTGCTCAAGGCAGCAGTGCTGACCACACTGCAAACAGAACTGCTCTGAACTCCCAGCTCTGGAGAGCAGGGAGGGGAGGCACAGAAAGGAGATGCTGCTCTGTTTCTCAACTCTGAAATTAGCAGCCATATCTGGAGTTAGGGGATCCGTGCACTTTTGAGCTCCTGGCCCACCAAGACGAGCTACAGCACAAAGGAATTTTCCCAATTGGAACCAGCAGCTCTTAGTGCCTCCCCATGCTGGTTTGTATTGCCCTGAAATTCAAGGGCACTGCTTCATGTTTTGCACAGGAATGACGAGCTCTTGGGTCTAAATATGTGTTTCCTCTAAATGTTCAACCTTTAAACTGCACTTGCTGAAAGCTGCTGCCTGTGGTGTGAAACAAGACAGCTCATGGTACATGCTCCCATCTCAAGAGCATCTATTTTTAAACATTTTCAAGCTGCATCACAGGAAAAGATCAATAATCCACCTCATATTTTCTTTTTTTGATCTGTTAACAGCTGCTCTGTGCTGAAAGCACTGGAGCATCAATTATTCCATGCACTCTGATTTCAAATCCACCTTAGACTGTAAATCCACAGGATAACTGCTTCTGGCGTGTTCCTCTGACCATGCCCCTGCCCTCCCAGCTCACACCTGCCCAGGGCTGGCACTGACCTCTGGCATCACTGGCTCTTGGCCCAGCAAAGCCTCTGGAATCACCACCTGCTCCTTCCTGAGAGCTCCCTGGGGCAGATCCCTCAGGCTCAGCCTCTCCCTTGCACTTTCCCTGCAGTTCTGTGTGACTGAGGGTTCATTACTCCCGAGTATTTTTCTGTTTCTCCAAACACACACTTTCCCCCTGCTGGGGTACAGCCCCTGTGCTGCCTCACTCAGCTCCCATCTTTCCAATGTGTATTTTTCAGCCTTCCACATGGCTTTTGCCCTGGCCATGAGCTGGCACGACACTCGAGACTTGCTTTGTGTCCCAAGCTGGTTTTTCTCTCTGCTGTTCCTCCGACCTGTCCAGGGAGCACCACGAGGCAGGGCTGAGGTGAGGTGCTGCAGAACCTGCCCTGTGGAGAGCAGGGACACCAGCAAGCACCTCCTGCCGAGGTGCCAGCTCAGGTGCAGGGCAGTGTGAGGGCAGCCACCCTTCTCACACAGCCCCTCTGAGCTCTGGCACTGCAGGAACTGGAAAATCCACCTTGGCTGGGGCTTACCCTAAGGAGCCAGATGTGTTCTACAGACACAGATCAGCCCTGGGACAGCCCCAGCCCCGTGGGGAGCTGCAGAGTCTCTCAAGCTGCCTGACTCGCTGACCTTCATTCCACCACAACCTGGTCTCCAGGCTGGACAGGTTCCTAGCCTGCAGCCCTCCTCCCTGTGCTGCACTCTCATCCCCTCAGCAACCAGTACATCAAAGCTCTGATTACTCTCTTTTTTTTCTATTTTCTACTTTAAAGAAGTGTGAGAATGCAGTGCAGTGTTCCTGCACGCAGCAGGATAAACAGGGATGCACGTGACTCCAGCCCTACACATTCCCCTTGCCCTCACCTCACCAAATGGGGGTCACACACTCACTTAGAATACACTCCTTTCCTGTAGTGCATGAAGTCACTCGTCACCTCAAAGGCAAAGCTCACTGGGTTGTGCTTCCCCACAGCTTCCACCATGCCGTCCTCGTCATACTGCAAGAGAGGATCCAGGGTCATCATCCTCATCATCTCCTGGCTGTGCTGGGCAGATGCAGCTCTCTGCATCCAGGAGCACACAGGCTGCAGCTGCAGGACAGCAGGAGTGTGCCCAGCAGCTCTCTCTGTATCCAGGAGCACACAGGCTGCAGCTGCAGGACAGCAGGAGTGTGCCCAGCAGCTCTCTGTATCCAGGAGCACACAGGCTGCAGCTGCAGCAGAGCAGGAGTGTGCCCAGCAGCTCTCTGCATCCAGGAGCACACAGGCTGCAGCTGCAGGACAGCAGGAGTGTGCCAGCAGCTCTCTCTGCATCCAGGAGCACACAGGCTGCAGCTGCAGGACAGCAGGAGTGTGCCCAGCAGCTCTCTGCATCCAGGAGCACACAGGCTGCAGCTGCAGGACAGCAGGAGTGTGCCCAGCAGCTCTCTCTGTATCCAGGAGCACACAGGCTGCAGCTGCAGGACAGCAGGAGTGTGCCCAGCAGCTCTCTCTGCATCCAGGAGCACACAGGCTGCAGCTGCAGGACAGCAGGAGTGTGCCCAGCAGCTCTCTGCATCCAGGAGCACACAGGCTGCAGTTCCAGCTGCTGAGCCCAGCACACCCTGGCACCCCAGCCCTCCCCTTGGCCCAGCCCTGGCAGTTTGGAATCGCAGCCCTCGGGCCTCACCTGTGTGATATTGATCACGTCCTTGACAAAGGCGATGGCTTTCTCGGGCTGGAACTTGCAGGTGCCGTTCTGTGGGGACAGAGAGGCGCTGTGGGGGCGGTGCCAGCCCTGCTGTGCCCCCACGGTGGTGGCCGGGGCTGTGCTGCAGTACCTTGGCCCGGTAGGGGTAGCTGTCCTCCCCCATGAGCCCCTTGTTGTACAGGATGTACTCGAAGGCTTGGCTCGGCAGGCCCCTGCGAGACAGCACAGCTCCGTTAGGATGCCAACAGCTAATTAGGATGGTAATGATGAACTTGGTAATGCTGCAGCCTCTGCAGAGCAAAGACATCAACATTCCCTGCTGTGCAGACCACTCCCAGCAGCCAGGGAAGGGCAGTGTCTACCCCAGAGCCCCCAGAGGCACAAACTCCAGTCTGTGCCTGCAGCATCTCCCTGCCTGGGCTGCCTGGCGTGGTCATTCTCCAGCTGTCAGCTCCCTGGAGAAGAGCACCAGGAGCCCTGAGGGTGTGAGGTCAGCTGGCCCACACAGCACCAGCCTCACATGCTGAATGAAAGGTGTTTTTTGGTGCCCTCTGCCCAGCCTGGCTGGGGGACATTGAGGCACCCACATCTCCAGCAAGCAGCTGCTCCCTTCCCTGGCCACCTTCCAGAAGCACATCTCAGCAGGGAAGAAAAGAGAGATGATCAGGGAGTGCTGATGTGGAAACACCTAAGGAGGAGTCACAAGAGAGATAAAAAGCACCAAGAGTGGCTTTGCTCAGCTCTAAGCGTTCCTCTAGGACCGCTTATCTCACAGAAAACAGAAGTTGTCAGAAAGTTCTACTCTCTGCCTTCTCTAGCAAGGCCAGGAGGAACTTTCCAAAGAGGAAGTTAAAGTTTCTGTGGGTTCTTCAGGGTGCCACGAGACACGTGTGACTCAGGACAGAACAGCCAGAAGTCCCCTTGCTGTCCCAGAGCCCATCAGAGCCCAGCCTATGGCTGCTGTGTGAAAAACACCTCAGATAAAAACCAACAAATGAGGAACAACAGAGGTTGGGAAATGCTGGAGATTTAGGGAAACATCCTAACCTCTAGGGAGGGTGAAATGAAAATAAGCAACCAAATCCAAAGTTGCTTCCCCTGACACATTGCAGCTGTGGGAAGACAAAAGCCATTCCATAATGTGGAAGGATCCTGACACCAGATCTGGAGGAAGGCTGTCCATCACAGGATGTAAGATTCTCTAGTTTCTGCTCTTTCTGACCCTGACTTACCCACTGCAGCCATGGTTGTTGAAGGCCTGGGCGCAATCTACCAACTGCTGCTCTGCCTGCAGAGAAAGGTTTTGAGTCAGTGACTGACAGTTTTGAGTCAGTGATTGTCCCACACCTGTGCTCAGAGTCAGTGACTCAAAAAGCAACTGCACAGCAGGAAGCTGGTTTATCCGTGCAGCTGGCTGTAACCACCACAGCACTGGTGTACCCCTGGGAGTCCCCTGGAAATGGCTCCATGTCCCAGGGAGGCAGACAAGGAAGACCTGGAGCAGCAGCCTGGGGTGCCCTGGCTGCCAGAGGCATTCCTCCTCATGCCACCCCCCCCCAGAAGGACTGGCTGAGATGTTTTCCAAAGGTCAGGTTTGTTTTTAACACACCCAGCCCTCAGTTATTCTGCTAAGTTGTGTAAGTGGCTACTGTCTTTCTAGTTCTTCAGGAATATAAATCCTCTGGGAGCTAAAAAATCACCATGTCCCAATGTGCTGCCTGCAGCGAGGCTGGCTGGCAGGGCCAGGCACAGCTTCTGTCCCCACGCCTCTCCCAGCAGCCTCCAGCCCCTCTGGCTCCATCCTGTTCCCCAAAGGGCTCCAAGCCCAGAACACCTCTCACCAGAGAGAGCAGCTTTCCTGTGGCAATGGCAATAGCAGACTCCAAACAGCCCGTGGTGGAAAAGGTCCAACAGCTCCCGCAGGCACCCTACATGAGGAACGGGAGAGGAACTGCTCCAGGAGGTGCTGCAGGCTCACCAGCCTCACCAAAACACGGGCAGGGGGCACGGCAGCAGTGCAGAGCCTCCACTCCCCGCTGGCAGCTGGGCCTGGCGTTCAGCTCAGCCCCTGCCAGGGCACACGGCAGGCATGGCACAGGCACCCAGCACTGCTCCTCGGGCACAGCACCTGCCTGCAGCCATCAGCCCCCTCTGGCCACAGCACACACTCCTCACCTGGTTTTTCACGGGTGTCACGAAATTCCCCTTCTTCCTCCAGTCAATAGAGTCGGGATGTGGCCCAGAGCTGCGCAGGAAGTTCCCCTTGGTGGCTGAGCAGTTCTGCAAGCAGGCAAAGGGCCGTGGTGAGCCACCAGGCCAGTGGCCCACGACAGCCACCCTCCCAGGGTGAGGGCTGGTGACCAGCCCACACACACTGGCCACTGCAGCAGGGAGCACTGCCAGCCTGCACCCCTGCCAGCCTGCAGCCCTGCCAGCCTGCAGTGCCCCAGCTGCTCAGGGAGCTGACAGCAGAACAGACAGCTGAGCTGGAGTCAGGGGCGAGGCACTGAAAGCCATGAAGGTGGGGTTCACCTGAACAGGGTTCACCTGGCTCTTGCCCAGTGCTGCGGGCACAGGATGTGACCTGATCACAGGGGACTGCAGGCAGCACAGCGAGGGGCGCTGGCCCAGCAGCGGGTGTGGGTCATGCAGAACCTTCTCACGGGGGTGCAGGTCGCTGCAGAACCCCCTCACGGGGGTGCAGGTCGCTGCAGGACCCCCTCACAGGGGCACTGGACCCCTCCTTCCCTGCCCACCCGCACTCCCAGCATTTACCTGCGGCTCACTCCACAGGTAGAGCTTTTTGAACTCCGCGAAGGTCAGGTCCGAGAACTGGTTGAGGCCCACTAGAAGGGGGAGAAGGGGACACTTTGCTGAGCGAGGCGCGGTGCTCAGGGCCGGCCGTGGCCGGGCGGGCTCGGGGCTCGGGGCTCCTACTCTGGAAGCTGTGGTTGCCGGCGTTGTGCTCCTCCACGCGCCGTTTGTTGCCCAGGAAGATGCGCAGCCGCCGCGGGTACTCCTCGGGGCCGTAGCTCCGCTCGTTCTGCGGGGAACCAGCACGTCAGGGACCCGAGCCCCGGAGCCCGGCCCGGCTCGGCTCGGCCCCGAGCTTACCTGCAGCATCCAGGCCTTGAACAGCTGCTCCTCTGCGGGAGAGAACGGGCCCGTCAGCGGCGGCACTGCCACGGCTCTGCCGCACCGGGGCCCGTGCTCGAGCCGAGCCGAGCCGGGCCGTGCCAAGCCGCCTCCTGCCCTCCCGATGCCCCCGTACCTTCGGCCGAGGGCTCCCAGGCGGCGGCGGCGGCGGCCAGCAGCGTGGCCGCGCTCAGCAGCACGGGCCAGCCCATGGCCGAACCGGGCCGGGCCGGGCCGGGCCGGGCCGAACCGGGACGGGCGCGACGCAGCAGAGCCGAACCGCGCCGAGCCGAGCCGAGCGCGGCCGAACGGAGCCGAAATGCGCCGAGCCGCTGCCAGGGGGCGGGACAAGGGGCGGGGCAGATGGTGGGCGTGGCACTGGGCGTGGCACCGGCTCTGGGAGGGGCACTGGGCGGGGCACCGGCACTGGGCGTGGCCCGCGGCCCGGCGGGTCCGGCGTTATCCCGCCCGTAAAACTATCACAAACCCCGGTTCACCCTGAGATAGAATAGATTTATTAGCAAGAGGTAATCAGGAAACATATATTTTTACAAAAAAAATGGAAATATCTTTTTTTTTTTCCCAAACAAGCTGTAAGTTGAAATAGTTTTAGGGCTTGAAAGAGAATTCCCATACCACGAGGTATTGCTTACAGCAAGTGTTGTGTGAGTGGAGCATGCCTGCCACTGCCGGGGAACCGTGTCAGGGACTGTACAATGTAAAAAACCCAGGAACTATTCACAGAATAAGCACTACATTACTATATCCTGCTAGCGGGTGGTTAGCCAGGATTACAGTAGATGTAATAAAAACACTCGTCATCTCTAACTCTACGTCATGGTACTCAGAGTGGGCACAAGGGCACGGATCTACAGCATATCAACAGGAGCCGGATGCAGCGAGGAGAGGCGAGGGGATGCTTCCATCTTTCCAGCTTCGGGGGCACCAGGGCAGCAGCCAGGGCCCCCCGTGCCCAGCCAGCACCAGGGTGGCACACACACAGAGGGCAGCTCACACCGAGGGACAACCTTTAATGCGCTCCCTTCTCCCACCTTACAGAGTTGGGATGCAACCGCCAGCACTGCCCGAGCGAGAGCTGCTCTGTGCTGCCCCAGAGCCCTGCGGGGACACGGGGCTCACCTACCCCACAGGGACTCACCTGCCCCGCGGGGACACAGGGCTCACCTGCCCCACAGGGACTCACCTGCCCCACAGGGACTCACCTGCCCCGCGGGGACACAGGGCTCACCTGGCCCATAGGTCTCACCTGCCCGACCACCAGCCCCCCAAGAGGAACAAATGACAAAAGTAACATCATGGAAAAGAGCCCGGGACTCCAGCGAAGTGTCGGCGCGTTAAACCGTGATGGGGCGGGGAATCCTACGCGAGCGCGGCGCGGCGGGGCCGGGGCCGGGGAAGCACAGACGGGGGTCGCTCCAGGGCGCCCGTGGAGCGGGGCTATGTACAGCGAGAGTCCGGCGGCCGCGCCGCTCACGAAGGCAGCTTGGGCTCTATCCGCAGAGAAGCTTCGTACAGGGACTCCTCGTCCATCACACCCGACTGGTCCAGCAGGTACTGCGTCACCTGGGGACAGAGCGGGCCGTGAGCGGGCCGGGAGGGACACAGCCCGACAGCCGGGCACCCAAACCCTGCCACAGCGGGGGCTGGGAGCTGCCAGCTCGTCTCATGCTGGGGGCAGCCCAGGGCAGAGGGCGGCTGGTGCTGGCAGCGGGGCAGCAGGGCACGCTCTGCCCGGGGAGGGTGTGCTGCCCTACACCGCTGCTTCCTAGCGTGGCCAGGTGCACCCCTGAGCACTCCGGGGCTGTCCCTCGGTGCTGCCCTCTGCAGCAACTCCTCTGCTGCAGCTGCCTGGGGACCACGGGGGAGTCTGCTGGAGCCCCCACAGCCTCCCTCCATCCCCTGACCCCTCCATCAGACTCCAGCAGGGAGCTGCCCGGTACTGAAGGCTTGGATGCTGTGCTGGAAGAGGGAGATGAGGGGCACAGCCTGCCCAAGGCTCTGGGGACAGGGCTGTACCTTCGGCTGGTGCTCGATCTTGTAGGAGGTTTGCTGGAACTGGCGGATCTCCCTTATGATGTGTGAGATCTGTGCAGGGGTAAAACACAGGAGGTGCTCATTGCTCAGCCATCACCCAGAGAACCTGTCCCAGTGCCCAGGAGGGCAGGGGCACCCAGCACAGCACAATGCAGAGGCCTTTTTGTCTCTTCCAGACACTGGGAACAACCCCAGGTATGTGCAGGGGACACATGTGGCCTCCTGGTGCTGTGCAGGTGAAGGCTGAGGGGACGCAGACCTGGCCACAGCCACATCAGCCCAGCCCAGCCCCTGGAGCACTCACCATCCTCATTTTGGAGAAGTTCACCAGGCCATCCTCGGTGTAGTTGGGGGTGCCCTCCTCGATGAACGCCAGGTCCGTCAGGTACATGCCCAGGTAGGGGACACACGGGGGGTCACAACTTCAGGAGTGAACCAGAGAGGAATGAGGAGTAAAACTCCCTCACTTTGCAGCTTGGGGCAGGGGAGAAGGGGACAGCTCTGCAGCCAGCAGAGGTGGAAGGATTCTCTCTAATATAGGAGAGCTCTCCCAGGGAAGGCTCCTGGTGTCCTGGGCCCCATCCCCACCAGCACAGCAGGACAGGCAGGACCTGTGGCTGTGCCCCTCACAAAGCCATGGGAGATGAGCAGGAGATGAGCTGTGGGCAGCTTTGACAGCACAGAGGGTCAGGAAGACCTTTAGAAGCTTCCATGGGCAACCTGGTCTAGTGGAAGGGGACCCTGCCCACGGAGAGGAATGGAACAAGATGAGCTTTAGGGTCCCTTCCAACCTAAACCATTCTAGGATTTAGTGATTCTGTGATAGTGATGGGGAAAATTGTTCTCCGGTGCCTGGCAGTGATTTTTCCCTTTGCAGTCCCTTTTATTCCCATTTTTCCTCACGCTGCCCAAAGGAGCAGCTTAGTCCTGGGGATCGCTGCCAGGCACTGTGCTGGCTCCACAGGGCAGCCTTCAGTGCAGGCTCTGAACACCCCTGGGAGCAGAGCTCAGCTTCCCCCGCCCTGCAGGCCCCAGGAGCAGCCCTTGGGGAGGAGGAGAAGCACCACTCACTCACTTTTTCAGTGCCTCCCTCAGGTTCTTGAACCTGCCCTCCGACGACACCAGCTTCTGGAGCTTATCAATCAGAGCCTTGGTCTGCAAGAAACCAGAGTGCTGCTGGCAGGGGCCCTGGAAGAGCCCCCACTCCCTGTGGCTGGGGGGCAGCCTGCAGAGCCACAGGGGCACTTCCAGCCCACCTCAGCAGCTGTTTCTGCACCTCCACAGGTGCAGTGTGCCCTGGCCGTCACACCTGGCTGCAGGTGAGCAAGCTGTGCACTCGCTGCCTCCCCCTGCTCCCACCTCTGCCCTCGCCTGTTTTCATTCACAGGTTTGTCATTTTATAGCAAAAACAACTGCTCCTGGCTGGTGGGAGCCCACAGTGGTGCCAGCTCAGAGAGGTTTAACTGCACCTCTGCCTTGCAGGGTGGGGACAGTGTCTTCTCACAGGTAACAAGTGACAGGACAAGGGGAAAGGAGTTGTGCCAGGAGAGGTTTAGATTGAATACTGGGAAAAGTTCTTAATGGCTGTCCAGCCCTGGCACAGCTGTCCGGGGTGGTGGTGGAGTCAGTGGAGGGGTTTAACGGGTATGTGGATGTGGCACTTGGGGACAGGGGTTACCGGTGGCCTTGGCAGTGCCGAGGGAACAGCTGGACTTGCACAGTCTCAGAGAGCTTTTCTAACCCAAACAATTCCATGAGTAAACCTAACCCCAAGGCAGGTCTGCGTGTCCACCCACCACCTCCCTCCTGAGAACAACCTGAAACCCCTCTGCCCATTTTCTGACTCTTTTCGAACGTGTCTCCCCTGCCCCAACACCCCCAGCAAGCCCAGCTCCCCGGAGGGGCCGGCCCTACCTGCTTGGAGACCTTGAGCCACGTTTTCTTGAGGCGGAAGATGGCACTGCGGTTGAGGGAGGAGGTGATCTCCAGCACGGCGTTGTAGTTGTGCAGGCAGCGGCAGATGTCGGCCACTGCCACCCACTTCTCGATGGCGCTGGCGCGCGCCGCGATCTCCTCGTTGCGGATGATCTCCGAGGCGATCAGGTTGCTGACCTTGGGGAGACACGGCCCCAGCCTGGCCTTCAGCGTGGCTTTGGGCACCCCAGCCTCACAGCAGGGCGAGATCTCCCTGTGCTGCTGCAGCCCCGCCAGCAGCACTGCAGCAGGACCGCAGCAGGACTGGATCCACCTGCACTGAGCCCCGTGGGGCAGGCAGGGCCCGTGGGACAGGCAGGGCCCGTGGGGTAGAGGCAGGGCCCGTGGGACAGAGGCAGGGCCATGGGGCAGGCAGGGCTGTGGGACAGGCAGGGCTGTGGGACAGAGGTAGGGCTGTGGGGCAGGCAGGGCCGTGGGGCAGGTGACCCTCCCTCACCCCAGCCCTGGGGAGGGGGCTGAGCCTCCCCCGTGCCCATCGCCCTGTGCCCTGCAGCTGCACCTACATCATTGAAGTGCTTTGTGTTCTTCATGATGTATGGAGTCCTCTCGTTCTTCTCCAGCTTCATCCAGCCTTGCCCAAAGAATTCCCTGCAAACCACAGTGCTCAGGTCAACTATTATTGACCAGTTTTGTGGGATGTCCAAGCCCTGCAAGCTCCACTGCATTCATATGGGATGGAGATCCTGAGGTCTTTGCCCCCATGCTGCTGGAAAGGGACCGTGGATGTGGCTGGACTGTGATGGTTGTGGGAAGGTCTTCCTGAGCTGATTACCTTGGGACATCCCATAAAAGCAGAGAAGCCACAGGGCTCCAAATCTGCCCTTGAACCAAGTCTGGGCTACTGGCAAAGCCCAGGAAGGCTTTGCAGTGTCTGGGGTCAGCCCAGCCAGGCTGCCCATGGGGCCCTGGCTGACCAGAGCCCCCTTTCCTGACCCACGGGGATCACTCACTCATATGGGATCTTCTTGAAGACCAGGTGGTCCAGCAGCGTCAGCTGTTCTGCGATCTCCAGGGCTGAATGGTTCTCAAAGGGCTCTGCTTTGACCCCCTCGGCCTGTGGGATGGAGAACAGTGGGGCTCAGCAGGCAGGAGCTCAGTGAGAACCCCACACAGCAAGGACACAGACCCAAAGCCAAGGCAGGCTCTCAGGCCAAAGGCTTTTCCCCAGCAGAGCCCGGTGTGGTGCTCCAGAGGCACCCCAGCCCACACC